CAAGGCCTGGCTGACGGGGCGCCTGGGGGCCGCCGTGGGTGAGCCGCCCGCGCGGGGCCCGGCGCGCCGCCCGAGCAGCGCGGAGGCGCCCGCGCCCGGGGGCGGAAGACGGGGCGGATCACGCAGGGCCCGCGCGGGGCGCCGAAGCATCCCGGAGGCGGAGGCGGGGGGCCCGGGGGGGGCGGGCTCTGCCTGGGGCGCGGGGTCCTCGCGGAGGCCGGGGCGCCTCGGGCCGGTGCCGCACGGAGGACCCGTTCACGCTGCCGCGCCCCGGGCCGGGCTGGGGACCAGGCGGGGGTTCCTGGGGACCAGCCGCCCGGGGACATGCCGGAAGAAACCGGGCGGGCAGCTGAGTGGGGCGGGTGAACTGGCGTCCTGCAGCGGCAGGCGTTGGCCTGGCGGCCTCCCTGGCCCCTTCCGCTCCCCCATCCCATGGTCCTGATCCAGGGGGCTGGACGGACTCGCCGGCCTTCGTGGCCCCTTCCGCTCCGCTATTTCACGGTCCTATGAAATGGTCGTCTCAAAGGTTGCTTGAAATTTAGGCTTGAGGTGCGCCGAAGAGCTGCTAGCAGAGCAGCTGAGAGATGCTGAGCCGCTGGGTTCAAGTGCCGCCTCTGCGGTGTAAATGCAGGTGGTGATCACCAGCAAGCCGCCCTCGCTCAGCCTGCGTGTCCCTGACCTGCAGCGTGGAGTAACATGACCCCAAGTGTGCAACAGATGCTCAGCTTGCAGTGTCAAACTTTTCAGCCCAAGGGCCAGATCCAGTTTTGAAAAGATTCCTGTGGTCAACCAAGCCAGAGGTGGGCTCAAAGTGGGCCCAATTTACTTTAAAACCAGGAACCAAGTTTTAGTAGGGTAAGCTGTATGAAGCAGGAGAATCGCCACGCAGCGAAGGGCATGGTCCTCTGGGGAAGCTCCTTTGCATTGTGTACACCCTCATTGTCCCCAGAGTTCCTTCCCCTAGAATCGTCTAAAATGAGAGAGGCACTGGTTTTCTGTGACCTTCCTTTCCCCTCCACTAAAATCGGTCTTTTTCCCTTGCAGGCCTTGTTGGTGCCGCTTATGACATCATGCTGTACCCGCCAGACACGGCCCTGCAGAGTTTCCAGAAGGCTGCCTCTGCCACCGTCACCATGGGTAGGTCCTGCAGGTCCCGCCCCTCGGCAGCAGCCAAGGCCAGCGCTGAGCCGTTTTCAGGTTCCCTTTGAGGGATGCCTCTGCCGCTCAGGCTCACTGAAATAACCGTCTCTTTTTCAATGCATTTCCTACTTCTCTGCTTAAAGGAATGACAGACCAGGTTAGGGTAAAGGCCAGGAGGGCACCGTGATGCCAAGTGGCTCCCTCTTTAGTGCCCCCATTGTGCTACGAACGAAGCTGCCCCAGAGCCACTGCTGGGTTTGAGGGCTGCCGGGCACGTTTAGTGAACCCTTCAGAGCGTGAGATTTTTCTCCCGGTGGCAGGAGCAGCCAGAACGAAGGAGCAGGGAGCTGGCTTGGCTCTGAACCTCCGCGGTTGCCTCCCGTGCGTGCTCCGGGCGCCCCGCATCCACCAGAGAGCACACACGGCCATCGTCCGACGGCGGAAGGACTCCAGTTCCGTTCCAGGCAGGGGCGTAAGAGGGAGCCCTGCCACACAGCTGCCTGGTTTATGACGTGGAGCGTGTTGGGTCACAGGCATGCCATGGCAGAAGGCTCCTTCGAGAGCTGCTTCCTTGCCATGCAAGTATTTCCCTTCTGTGGCAACTCTTATCCCCCAAATGTCACTCAAACAAGGGCTTCCTGGGAGTGCTTTTAAAAACATCGCCAAAGGAGAGGGGCCCTCGCCTGCCAGGTAGCCTTCCATGCCTCATATTCTCCCAAGTGTGGAGCCTCCTTGCTCAGGAGCACACGTCTGCAGCACTCACTCGCAGGAGGCATGTGTTGGTTTGCCCTGTGGCTGCCATGATTTGGTGTTTCTGCCACTTAAAGCAGCCTTCCCCAAGCTTGTGACTTCCAGAGGGAGGAATGCAAGTCCCATTGTCCCACAGGGAATGATGGGAATTGTGGCACAACACAGCTGTGCAGCACCAGGTTGGGGGAAGCTGGTTTAAACCAAGTGATTTTGAATTCCTTGGTCTTTCCCTGGATCTCTTTTCCAGTAAAATAATAAAGGCCATTTGAAGCATTGTCCCCAGAGAGGCTGATCAGAACTTTTGTAGCCCATCCTGTGAATCTGGAATTCCGCTGGCGCTGCGGCTGCATTGGTGGCATCTGGTTCTGGCTGCTCGTTTATCTTGCCCAGTAGATTCCATTTCAGAAGGTTTTCTCTCTGAAAGCACCACCTGGTCTGTGAGCATTAACTGAAGAAGCAGCAGGAAGAAAACCAGGCCAAGGCAAGGGGAGGGGCTCCCCTCCATGCAGAGTGGAGTTTTGAGTTTAGGGCCGCGGCCAGTCCGTGCCTGGGGGGCAGGTCCCACCCACGCCTCCCCGGAGTCATCAGCCTGGCCGCGCCGGACACGCTCGGCCCCATCAAGGCTGCTTTGGAAAGCCCCACCGCTGCTCCCCTCTTCTTTTCTGTGCCAGTCATCCACGGCCTTTTCCTCTCCCCCCATCCCTCTTTTTGTCTCCACAGCTACCCTGGGGGCAGTTTTTGGGGCAACGACCTGTCTCACTGCGGAACTCCGTGATGCCCCGGACGACCCCCTGAACTATTTCATCGGCGGCTGTGTGTCAGGTGCTGTCTTGGGAGCCCGAGGTTGGTAGCGTTCAGCTCTGCTCCGTTCGGCTCGCCCTGCCCCGCCCGCCGGCTCCTTGGCTGCTGCGGGTGCCGGCTCCAGGTCGCAAGGGGCCCTGAGCGGCCCCCCGGAGGCTGGCCCCTCGCCACCTCGCTCTCCCACCTCTTCCCCGGCGTGCTCGAGCACTTCCTGCTGCTCCTCTCTGCCAGCATTGCCTGGGCCCGAGGGAGAGGCGCCTGTGCACACAGGCTGCGGCGGGGGGTGGGGAGCCCGTCCGGCGGGTCCTTTGCAGGGGCCCTTGGCAAACACCTGGTCGCCCCAGCCCTCGGCTCTGCCTGTGCCGGGCCCTCCGCTAACAAGCCTCGTCTCCACGTTTTCCTGTCCTCCAGCTCACAGCTTTGCCACGGGCTCAACAGCCTGCGCCGGCTTCGGCATTCTGGCTGCGCTCTTTAAAATCAGCAAGAAGGAAGGGTGGAATCTCCTGGGGCCCCCCAAACTCTAGCCTGTCTCCTCCCACGGCCGTGTTGCCTCTGTGGCGCCGCACACATTTCGTCCCAGACTGTGGCTGAGGCTGGGTGCTCGTAAGCTGCGTGTGAGCAGAAGCCCTCCCCGGCAGGCGGTGAGCACGGCCCGTTTCCCACCCAAGATGCTACAGCTGCCGCTTCTTCGGACTGTGTGTTATTCCAGTGATCACCTGCGTGCAAATAAAGAGCTGACCTGTGTGGTCCTTCATTCCATCCACTGTTTGTGCCCCTCCCCAAAGAATTTGCGCGGTCTGGGCCAAACCAGACTCGGTGCAACTCTGCACTTCCCCAGCATGAGGAGAGCAGTCTTGCATCAGAGCAGAGGTGCGGAAACCTAGCTCTCAGGCCAGGTGGGGGCACATCCCCTTCCCGGCGAATCTAGATCGCACATGCATTTCTTGGATTTTTGTTGTTTGTTTCTGCTCCCCAGCTGGCTGGGCCCCCTTGTTTCCCCCATCCTCAGATCCTTTGGCAGTTTCCCAGTCCTCTGGGGTTGCCAGGTGGTCCAGCCCTTTCCTTTGATGGGTTTTCAGCTTTTGTGCAGTATTTTCCCCATTATGAAATACTTCATGAGATGAGAAGAGCGTTCTTGCCCTGCTCCAAAATGAAATTTGGACCCCGGACCAAAAAGGTTCGGCATCCCTGGATCAAGCAGAAGAATAATGCATCTAAAACTGAGAGTAAGCGTAGAAAGACGAGACAGACAGCTCCCTCAGAACATCCTGGAAGTACCGAGCAAGCCCTTCCACAGGGTCCTTAACAGGAACCGCATTTTGAGGTACCTTTGCAAAGAGAATTGCCCCTTGAGGAAGAGTTTTGTGTCCTTCCCAGGTCCCTCCCCTCCCAAGGCGCAAAAAGGCAGCCATCCCACAGGTGAAGCCAGCCAGCCCCCACCTGTGTTGCACTGGAACTCCCGGCAGAGGATCTTGGGAGTTGGTCCCACATCTGCAGGGCACCAGCGGGGGGCCAGCCAGCGTATCGCCGCCTCTGCACTGCGGGGCCTGCGGGTGCCTTTAAAATCGTGACCTGCAAGCATCCATTGTCTGTCCCAGCAGAATCCCCTTTTAAAAGGAGGGCTGCCCTGGACTCTGTCTCCGGCTGGGGAGGGCAGCTTCACCCAGCTGGCTCTGGGGGAAGGGTCACCCTGACCCGGTTTCGGATGCCTGGTGGCCCTGCCCTCTTCTGGTCCCAAACGCGACTGCTGGTGGCGGCCGCAGCGGAGTCTCCCCCCCACCCCATCCCCGGCTTCTGGCAATCTGGCCATGCGCCCCCTCCCTCCCTCCCTCTCCCTCCCTCCCTCAGCTGCCGATGTCTATTTTGGGGCTGCTCAATTTATTAAAGACGTGTGACATGTGAGGGTCGGAATCTCCAGTGGGACACGACCTAGAAGTGGTTGTGACTTTGAGCTGGAGGTGCAAAGGCACGTCGGCACGCCAGGGTAGATGGCTCAGAAGGCCGACTCCTCGGATCCCCCCTGCTCCCCCGGAACGTGGAGCCTCCTGCACCCCCTCCGGGGCTCAGCCTCTCCCCACCCTGTGCAGGTTTCCAAGACTAAATCTGTCGCAGATCAAGGAAGGGCTCCTGCAAGTGGGGCATCCTTCCGGCCGCTGTGGCAGGAACGGCTGGAGGAGGCTGCTTGGGTTGCAGCCTGGGAGAAGGAAGTCCAGCCGCACTTTGGCGGCAGAGGCTGCCCAGGAGGCACCTGCGGGGGACCGCTCTGCAGATGGGTCCTGGGGCCCAGCCCTGCTCTTTCAGCCGTGGCCGAGGAATGAAGAAAGGGGCCGGGGCGTGTGATGGATCAGCCTGCGTCCTCGGGACCTTTGGGGCAATCGGAATCGCGCACGCGCACACACCGCTCCCCAGGCTGGCCGCTTCCGTGTCGGCTGGGGTGAGGCAGTGGCAGTGACCGCACCTGCCAGGCGCCACTCCGAGCACGCTCTGGTAACGCCAGGGCCCGGCTGCGCCTCGTGCTCGGGGGGCCTCCCGGGGCGGGCACGGGGAGCCATGGGCTGCACGCTGTGCAGGGATCCGCGTTCTGCACACACTGACGGGGAATCCATTTAAGGAAGGCCTCTGGGATGCTGCCGGGCTGCCAGCTCCCGGCCTCCCAGACCCTTCCAGGCGAGGCCCAGGCCCCCACTTGCCCACCCCACAGAGCAAGGGCGGCGGACCCCCGCTTCTCCACTGCAAGACGGGTCATGTCAGCGTTCCTCGTGAGAAACGGGGTCCGTCTCCTTGGTAGCTCCCCCTTAGAGATCCGTTTGGACAAGGCAGCAATCCTTGCACACGTGTGAGGGTGGATCGTGACTTGAAATGTGGGTTCTCGCACTGTCTGAACGCAGTTGTGCTGCCTGTAGCTGGGGAGGCACGACAGGCCAAGTTCTCCTCGGGCGTCAACCAGCCACGCTTTGCAGCCGGGCTGTCCGTGCTCAGCAGCTGCAGGTCGTTAGGCTGACCCAGCGGTGGAAACGCCTCCTCGGAGGGGAAGCGAGCAGACCTTCCTGCTCCGGAGGGAGAGGTGAGGCTGTGGCGAGGTGGGCAGCTGCCAGGGGGGCCCCCTGCCCCCTCAGCCCCAGGCTTGTGGCTGTGAGGAGGGGCTCCGCGGGGTTTTGGGCGGGTGCCACACAGGGCAGGAGGGTGGGAGACTTGTAGGGCGGATGGACCCCGCGCTGGCCGGGATGAGGGGAGTCCAGCCTCGTGGGCCGTCCTGTTCTGTTGCCGGCTCCCACGTCCTCTTCTCCAGGTGGGCGACCTGCAGGTGTGTCCCACCCAAACTTCCAGCACCCCTCCCCCCACGTTCTCCCACTTGGAAAAACGCGTGGACGTTCCGGTCCCCTCCAAAGGAGGCGTGGGCGGGAGGGGCTTCTGCAGGTAATCAGGCTGGCCAAGCAGCAGCGCCCCTGCACGAACGAGGCTTTCCTGCTTTTCCCTGGGGTTGCCTCTCCGTGCATGCTCAGGAGCCGCTCCCTGGTGCGGCGCCCTGGCGCCCAAAGGCGCGCCCCTCCCCGGCCGTGTTCGCCTCCCTCGCCCGCGTTCTGGGGCAGCGCTCTCTGCTTATGCTCAGCGGCACTCCAGCCTCCCCGGCTCTCTCCCCGCTGCTTCACTGGCTCCGTCCTGGTGGGGGCTCCCCGGCAAGCGCGCGCCCCCCGGGAGCCCCGCTCGGCTCCCCGCCCTCGCCATGGGCGGCTGGACGAGGCCCCCCGAAAGTCGCACGCATCCCCTGCTCCCCTCCCCCCCGCAGCCATCCAATGCGCCCCCGGTCAGCGCGACTGGCTGCCCCGTGCAGACGCGCGATGGACGCGCCCGCGACACGCTTCCTTCCAGGCAGCCCCTTCCCCCAGGCGCTCACATCGGGCGGGGTGGGAGGCTGCTGCCCGACACGTGTCTTATTCAGGTCCAGGCGTGCTGCGGGGCGCTCTTGGGAGGCGAAGGCCGGGGCTCCGGGTGAGATTACTCTTCCTAGCGTCGCTGCCCCTTCCAGGTCAGGCGCGCTCAGACGTGCAGGCAACAACTCGCAGCCTGTGCCGGGGCTGGAAGGAGCCGGGCCTGGGGTGGCCGCTCGCGGAGGGTTAGGCCGCGTTTGAATCTGCCCCCGGCAGAATGCGGGGGCGGGAAGACATCTCCCCACTTCCTGTTGGAGGACTTGGAGTCCGCGTGCTGCCCGTGGGCCACCTCTCCGGCTCAGGGTTCAACTTGCACCCCGCTGGGGTTTCTTGCCTCCATGTTGGCTGTGTGTGTGTGTGGGGGGGGGCATTATTTCTGCCTCTAACCTGGTCTCAGGGCAAGGCAGCTGAGTTGGGCAACAACTCCCGTCATTGGCCATGCCGGCCGGGGAAGATGGGAGATGAATTCACAGGTGCCAGGGAAATCACAGCCTGGGCAAGGCTGGCCTAAGGGGGTGGGGGGCGCGTCCTGGGTTTGGCTGCGGCCGCTCTTGCTTCTGAGCCAGTTCTGCTTGTCAAGACCTGGTTGTCTTTGGGATTTGATAAACTACAACTCCCATCATCCCAGCCAGCCAGGGGGCGGCCGCTTGACAGGATGGTGTGTCAGGGCTTGCTCACACTCCCTCAAATACGCAAGGACCCCGGAACGGCGGGGTTTGCACCTCGGAACGCTCCGAGCCAACCCAGTGGCCCTCCAGTTGGCCTGGATTGCGGCTCCCATGCTCCCCGGCCGGGCCTCTGCGGCCCGATCGCCTCGCCCCCCCCCCCCGAGCGCTGCCCCGCGAGCTCCGCGGCGGGAAGGAGCGTGGCTCGCGCCTCCGGGGAGCGGGGCCGGTGCGGTTTGTTGCCCGCGGCCCCGGCCGCGAGTGGCGCGCCCTGGAGCCGGCGGAGAGGCGGGTGTGATCGGGGCGCCCTGTGCGCGTGGGCGGCGGCGTCTGCAGCCCCCCCGGCAGCAGGAAGCCCGGCGCGCGACCCGGCCCGCGTGCGCGCGCGCACGTGCTCAACAGCTCCCCTTTCCACGCCGCCCTCCGGCGCTGCGAAAAAGGAGTTTCAGGGCGCAATTCTTTGCAGGGGAGCGCGAAAGGCCCCGCAGCTCCTATCGTCCCCAGCCGGCAGGCCCGGCCTGCCCCCGGAGGGGCCGCGCCGCCGCCCGCGCGGTCGGCCCGCGAGCTGCCCTGGCCGTGCCGCAGAGGGCCTTCCGAGGCGGACGGCGGCGCCTCCAGGATCGGAGGCGGAATGCCCATGTGCCGCAGTCGGGGGGAGCGCGGGACGGGGACCCGGGTCCCGCCTCGCTGCCGCGCCCCCCGCCCGCGCTCCCCATGGCAACGCTCCCCCTGCTCGCGCCGCCGCAGCAACATGCCGGGGCGGACCGGTGCGCCCCCGCCGCCGCGCGCGCTCGCTCGGGCACACGCGCGCATCTCCGCCGCGCATCGTGGCGGCCTTTGTTCGCGCGGCGGCGGCGGCGGCGGATCCTGGCACGGTGCGTGTGCGCTGCGCGGGGCCTGCCTCGAGCGCTCCCGGGGGGCTGCTGCTCCGGCCGGCGGGCGGGGGAGGGCGGCAGCGGGTCCGCGGTGGGGCGAGCCTGCCCCCCTCGCGAGGGACATGGGCGGGCGGCGCTGTGCCCCCCCGAATGGGATGCTGGGCAAGGTGGTCTGACCCTGCGCTGCCCTCCTTTGTGTCCACCTGGGCCTCCGCTGCCCTTGTCGGCCGGGCTGCCTGGGGCTGATGGGGGCTGTGCTCCAAGCCACTTGCTGGGTGGGGGTTTGGCAGGGCGGTTTTGCAGTGCGTGGGCTTTCTCCTGCTGTGGCGGTGGCCTTGCGAGTCTGTCCCAGCGCCCCCCTCCCTGGGGCCTGGCTGCCCATCGTGGGGCTGTGGGGCTGGTGCGGGGGGGGGGGGGGTCTGTGGAAGGTCAGGCGTGCTCAGCCTGGTGTCCTGGGTGTGCTGGCCGGGGACTGCTGGGAGTTGTAGTCCACGGCATTTGCAGTGTGGGTCACTCGTGTCAGCCGACAGAGGAGGCCGTCGGTGGCGGTGGGCCATGCCTGTGTGGAAGAGATCTGTCTGCGCCAGCCATGGCCCCTCCTGGGACTGTTTTTGTTTGGCCGCTGCTGAAAGCGGCATGCTGGGACACGTGGGCTTTTGCTGAGCCCGGGGGGGGGGGGTCTTCTTGCCAATGAAAGCCCCGTGTTGAGGGGTTCCATATTCGCACAGACGACGCCAAGGGTTCGGGTGTGTGAGGATGTGTGACCCCACTCCTGCCGCGCCCACGGATGTCCCAGTGGCACGCAGGGCTGGGCTGCTTTGGGAATCAGACACTGGACTAGATCGGGGTGGGGGGGCAGAACCATCATCCCTGGGGCTTCTATCCAGGCCTCCTGGGTTTCCCAGCCACCAGCCCGCAGGTGGCCGCCTGGCCTGCGCATTTCTTCCCCGAAGGCTTAAACTGCTGCCCGTGAGAGCACAAAGCTCAACCTGTGCTGGCTTGGGACCTGCCCGGTTTGGTGTCACCAGCCCCAGGAATGTAGGCCCAAGCGCCTGCCCCCAAGAGGCTCCCCCCCCCCCCCCCCATCCGGGATGGCCCTGGAGCATCGGATCCAGCCGGGCTCCTCTTTGCCGGGAGTCCGCTGGCACTGTCCTGAGGCGGTTGACCCGGTGGGGAGGGGGAGCCCCTGCGGGGGGGCGTAGCACAAGAGGGCAAGCCCCAGGCGGCGCCCTGCTCCCCTCACCCCCCCCCAATCCGAAGGGAGGAGCAGGACGCAGGAACGCCTTCCCCTCCTGTACCCACACAGGTGCTGCCAGGGTTAATCCCGCTTGGCATCCGGCAGCGTGACGGCGCCTGAAGTCCCAAACCGCCAAAATCTCCTCCTCCCCCCGCCGTGCACCTCCCAAGCATAACCCTGCTTTCCTTCTCTCTCGTTTGTCAGAGTACCCAGAGGCGGGACGGAGCGAGGACGTGGGACTGGGAGACCGACTGGACTGAACCAGCTGCTGCTCCTGGTGGGTCGCGGCTGAGTGCCAGGAGGCCCTGGCGGTGCGGGGGGCCCCGGCGTCTGTGGGGCTGGCTCTGCTTCCTGGAGACGGGCGGCTCTCCGGCTCTTTCTTTCGGGGGGCACGGGGTGCTTCTGGCAGGAGCCGCTGGCCACTGGCCGCCGGGAAGGCTGCAAGTTTCCATGCAGCTGTTTAAAATCCCATCACTTGGGCTCCGGAGTCCGTCCTCAGCTGGCTCCGTCTTTCCGCCGCCTCTCCCTGCGTGCCGCGGTCTGGCCCTCCATGAAAAGGGCTGCCTGCTTTTCCTTTGGGGCTCGGGGAACCAGTGAGGAAGTGGCAACCCGGGACGGACCTGCATGGCTCGGGGGTGTCGCTCCTCTTTTTGGCAGCTGCCGAAGCGCCAAGACAGCAAGCAGGGATCAGACAGGAATTACGGAGAATGCTGAGAATGCATGCGTGGTGGTGGTGGTGGGGGGGGGAACCGGGCCTACAGGTCAGCTTTACCACTTGGGGTGGGACTACATGGCCAGGTCCTCTGCTCTGCGTATCTTTTAGAAACACAACTGTAAACTTTTTCTCCATTTGCTTGGAAAGAAACGGGCGCCCCCGGCTCCCGGCTCTAGGCCACGACACATTATTTTGGCCCTGCTCTCTGAAGCGGCCGCTGCATTTCTGTACCGTGTGCATTTGTCCCCCTCCAGGCGCTTAACCAGATATTTGCTATTCCTGAGGCACTGTCTGTCTATCTGTCGGGCACCTTGCCAAGGACAAGCCTCTGCCCCAAGGGGCTTGCAGTCTCAAATCTGGCACGGACGATGGGAGGTGGGAATAACCACAGGAGGTGATGCACTCGCCCGCGGGATTAATCAGAGGAGCGCGTGGGCGACGGGTAGCTGGCGGAGAAATTACAAGCTGGTCAGTTGGTCGGTGGCTGTGTTTCTGCTGATGCCCACCTGAACGGACAAAGAGGGCAGGCCGGGAGGGGAGGGACCCGCACCTTCTGTGGGGAAGGGCTTGTGGCCCAGCAGCGGACCGACTGATGCCTCGCCCACTGAGGCAGCGCTTTGCTGGGGCTGCTGGGAGCCCGGTCTTGTGGGAAGGGTGGACGGGGCCAGATGGCCCTTGGGGTCAGCCCCTCCGTGCAGGACACCACGCCACGGCGTTCTGCGTAGCCCCCAGAAGTGCTTCAGCACAGACCAGCATTTCCCAGGGTGTGTCCCTCTGTGTGTCGGATTATGGCTCTACTGGCGGGGGGTGCTGGGACCCCATCCAAGGCTTGGAAAGGCCTTTTAGCTTGCTGCTGGTCCAGGGGAGGAGGCGCTCCAGAAGCAGCCCATGGCCGCAGCAGCTGCGTGGCCGTGTCCCGGCGGTTCTTCTGGGGGATTTGGTGTCTCGGGAGGTGAGAACAGGGCAGGTCTGGGGCTGGAAGTCTCCCTGTGGCAGGAGTACCGCAGGATCACGCTCCAGCTGAGGGGCTCTCGGAGCCGGAGGCCGCTGCAGTCCAGAGCAGGGCAGCCGCCTGGATGGCCCGCGGGCAACTGCTGCGGCTGCCTTTCACCGCCTCCTGCCCTGTGTCTCCGGGCGTCACCCCTTGGCCGGACAAACGCCCCCTTTGCGCTTCCCAGCAGCCCCCCGACCCCGTGCACCCGAAGACGCTGGGCCGCGGCTCCCCCGTCCCGCACTCCCAGGTGGCGCCAGATTGAGGACACGCAGCTTAAACCGGCACCCGCCTCCCCACAAGCACAGCCCCCGCGTGCCCCCGGGTCATGTGCTGCCACAGATCGGCTTGGCCGCCACCCCGGGTAATTCCTTCCCCTCCCGGCTCGGGCCGCAGGATCCAGGCGGCCGCCCGGAGCAGAGGGGAGGGCTGCCCAGCCGCTTCTCACTCGCCTCCTTGCTTCTTCCCCAGATCCGAGCCCTGTGATGGGTGAGCGGCCCACCCACGCCAACAGCCTCTTCCTGAACGAGGAGTCCTCCAAGGGGCTGGGATCCGGAAGCCGGATGCACCGGCTCCGCCTGGCCGTGGAGAAGCGCGCGGCGCGGGCGCGGAATCGGATGTATGGCGTCACCTGGGAGGGCTTCCGGGGCTGCCTGCAGAGGAATGCCTTTGTGGTGCTGACCATCTCAGCGGTCCTGCTCGGTACGGGGGGTGGGGGGGGCGCTCCCCAGGCGCCTGCGCATCTCCTCCCCGAATCCCCCCAGCTGGCACAGGCAGGGGCTGGGACACGGGCGTGAGGCCCAGATGTCTTGGATGGGCTCTCGCAGCCACGGTCCCTGCAGATGGAGCCCGTTCTGGTCCCCGGCAGTGTCTGCTGGGAAGGAAAGCCGGAGGGCTGCGGCTGCCGGGGGCCCAGGGAGACCGATTCGGCCAAGAGTGGGCGCTGGCGAGGCCTCCCTCCCGCAGAGGCGACGGCCCTGGAGCGCTTCCCGGGCTTCCAGCTGCTGACCGCCTGCTCACTGCCTGCACGGCTGGCCGGGGCTCCTCTCTCCTGTGGCCCACGCCCGGCACACGCTGCGAGGAGCTGAGGCGCAGGGTCCGGGAGAGGGAGCCTGGCCCAGGGGTTCAGCCCCCGCAGCCCAGCCTTCTCTGGGTCTCCCCAGGACTTGGGGGGCGTGCGCGAGGTGGGGGAATCAGCACACTTAGGGAAAAGCGGCCGTATTTTGCAAAGCGGGGGAGAAAAAACCGACACACCAAAAGGCCGGAGGATTAAGCGGTCCTGAGCCGGTTCGGCTGGGCTCTGGGCAGGAGCTGGCCCTGGGCTCGGCTTTTCCAGGATTCCCACCTAAAGGAAAGGGAGTGGGGTGATACAGAGGGCTCTGAAGGGAACTTGGCACGATCGGGGTCACGCTGAGATGGAGGGGGAGTTCCTGGTGCAGAGCAGCCTCCCTTGCATGTGTTGCAAATCAACCCCCCCCCCAAATTCAGAACTTGCAGCCAGAGAAGTGTGCTGGGCAAGCCCCTCGGGGGACCTGGGTGCAAAGGGTGGGGTTGAAGTGGTGTCTGAAGAGGCCTCAGGGTGAGGTGAGCAGTCCAAATTTTGGGGCCCCACAGAGAAGCCCCAGTTGCAGGTCAGGGCCACGTGCCCCCCGCCCCTGGTCAAGCTGCAAGCAGTGGGGCCCCTCCCAGAGATGAGCGCCTGGGCGCGGGTGGCCAGTGGCCGGGGCGGTGGGGACAAGCTGGCCCCCCAGTGCTTCCGTTCGCTCGGTTTGTCTAGAGAGAACTGGGCGGAGGGGGAAGGCCTCTGAGTGCCCCCTCGTCCCGCCCTGCAGGGATCACGCTGGGCCTCGCGCTCCGGCCTTACCGGATGACCCACCGCCAGATAAAGTACTTCTCCTTCCCCGGAGAGCTGCTGATGCGGATGCTGCAGATGCTGGTGCTGCCCCTCATTGTTTCCAGCCTCATCACAGGTGCGCTGCCGGCGGGGCGGGGCGGGGAGGCCAGCGACGGGCTGCCGCTGGGGATGGGCTTTCGGTCCCTTGCGTGCTCTCCCCCCACCCCCTTTCTGGCTTTCCATCTGTCGGGGATGGGGAGGGAAGGAGGAAATCAGGCAGGCTGCGCTTTGCGCATGCTTCAGGCTAGGCTCAGCCCACAGGTCAGCACAGGTGATTCCACGTGAGATAGATTCATGAGCCAGCTCAGTGGAAGGCATTGTCCTATGTCCCTGCTTGCAGCAGTGTTTGATCCAGAACCATGAGGACTAGAACCTTTTGCCATTAAGGGAAGGGCTGTAGCCTGAGGGGTAAGACTCCAGCCTGGAATGCAAGAGGTTCCTGGTTCAGTCCGTGGCTGGGAGGGCTGGAGAAGCTGCTAGAGGAACCCTGGGGAGCGTGGCTGCCAGTCAGTGCTGACACCACCAGGCCGGATGGCCAAGGGCCGGCGGGGGGCGCCGTTGGGCCCAGGCAAGGCAGCATCCTGGCAGGCGGGGGTGAGGCTCGGTCCCACCGTGCCTGGCCGCCATGGGCGGCCCCAGGCAGGGCCCCAGGCGCCTGCCGTGTCTCAGCCGTGTGGCTCCCGCTCCCCCAGGCATGGCCTCGCTGGACAGCGGCGCCTCCGGCAAGATGGGCCTGCGCGCCGTTGTGTACTACATGGCGACGACCATCATCGCTGTCTTCATCGGGATCTTCATGGTCCTCATCATCCACCCCGGCAAGGGCAGCAAGGAGACGCTCGGCCGGGCCGGGCAGATTGAGCCCGTCCACACCACGGACGCCTTCATGGACCTGATCCGGTGAGGGGCGCTCGGAGCCGGGCGCAGCAGGCAGGGGCCGAGGCCTGAGGCCGGCTGGCTGGCAGCTGCGGGGCCGGGCATCCCTTCCCATTCCCGGCATTGATCGCTCGGGGCTTTTATCTTCCGCTAGGAACATGTTCCCCCCGAATCTCGTGGAAGCCTGCTTCAGACAGGTAAGGCTCCCGGTTCAGCTCCAGCTCTGGAGCTTTTTGGAACACTGGCCTCGACTTCGGTGCTGCCCCAGACCAGAGCGCCCCGGGGGAAGAGTCAAAGGGGGTCGAGTGGGGTCCCGCCTGCGTTGCCCGGTGGGCTTCCCCCGATGCCAGGTCCCTTTCTGGCTGTCAGGCAGCTTTTGCCGTCGTGGAGAGCACAGGCCTATGTCCTCTTGGGCTGGAACCGGCTCACCCACTCCCTGTGCCGGACACGAGGTGGGACTCCCTCCGGGAAGGCCTCGCTCCTCGCGGAAGGAGCCTGCCGCTGACACTGGCTGGCATTTGGGCGTTTCTCGCATTGGTTTTTGTCCCGTGCGTCACCGGCACCCCCAGTCCCTTGCAAGAGGGCACCTGGCCTTAGGCAGAAGGAGGGCACTTCTGCGCGGCTCGGCGGGGTGCCTCAGCCTCCGGGACCCTCCTCCAGCCTGTTAACGTCACCCCAGGAGCACTGGGGCAGCTCGCAAAGGCCTCCCCAGCCCCCAGGCCTGCGGTCGGAAAGGCTTGGCCAGAGGGGGGTGGGGGGAGGGAGCGTGAACGTCGCCCGCGTCTCCTCGCAGTACAAGACCCAGTACAGCCTCCGCGTCGTCAACCGCACCGTCCTGAGGAGCGGGCCTGGCCCAGCCCCGCCGCCCGAGCTCTTGCCCCGCAACAGCAGCGGCCCCGGGAACAGCACCCTCGCGCCGTCCCTGCTGCTCGAGAACGCCACGGCCGTCTGGCACAACGTCACCCAGGCGCTGGGCAGCCTGCCAGAGGTGCTGAGCTTCGAGGAGGTCATCCCGGGCCCGGGCTCCGTCAACGGGGTGAACGCACTGGGGCTGGTGGTCTTCTCCGTCTGCTTCGGGCTGGTGGTCGGCAGCATGAAGCAGAGAGGGCAGGCCCTGCGGGAGTTCTTCGACTGCCTGAACGAGGCCATCCTGCGGCTCGTGGCCATCATCATCTGGTGAGGCCCGGGGGCCCGGGCGGAGCAGCCCCTCTCGGGAGGAGCCCCTTCCCGGAAAGAAAGGGTGGTCCTTGAGCGGCGGCCGTGGGCTGACGTGGGCCTCTCGCGGCAGGTATGCGCCGGTTGGGATCCTGTTCCTGGTGGCCGGCAAGATCCTGGAGATGGAGGACCTGGCGGTGATGGGGGGCCAGCTGGGCATGTACACGCTCACCGTCCTCGTGGGGCTACTGGTCCACGGCCTCTGCGTGCTGCCCCTGATCTACTTCGCCGTCACGCACAAGAACCCCTGGGCGTTCATGGTCGGCCTGCTGCAGGCGCTCGTCACGGCCCTGGGCACCTCTTCCAGGTACTGCCCTCGGCCTGGGCCCCCTCGCACCCGGCGCTAGAGAGTGGCGGGGGGACCGCTCGCCCAGTGGAGTGGGGGCCTTCTCCAGCAGCCCTTCCCTCGTAGGGCTCAGGTTTGGGGGGTTGGCGGCACTCATGCCCTCCTCCCCTGTTGCTGAGGGTGGGGGGCACTTCTCTGCCACCTGCAGCCTGGCCCCCTTTCCATTCCCTGAGTGCCCCGTACTGAGCAGACCTCTGGGTTATTGGGGGGGGGGACACTGGGGAGCCCCTTAAAAAAAGAACTGACGTGTGGGAGGGGCTGCAATGCATGGCGGGGGCTCCCTCGTGCTTCCAGGCCACCTCGTCGGCGAGGTAAGCGCAGTCCGGCCCACGAGAACATCTGCAGGCTTCCCCGCTTTGGATTCCTCCCTGCCCCACAGAAGGAGAGCGTTGGGAGAACTCCCCAGCCTGGCACTCGTGCCAAACCTCTTCGCTTTGGGGTCAACCTGGGTGGGGGGCTGCAGGAGTGACGTCACTGGGCGCCTCGCAGCTGGGCGCCTCTCCCACGACCTCCGTCTCCGTCGGCAGCTCAGCCACTCTTCCCGTCACGTTCCGATGCCTGGAGGAAAACAACGGGGTGGACAAGAGGGTCACCCGGTTCGTTCTGCCTGTGGGAGCCACGATCAACATGGATGGCACTGCACTGTACGAAGCCCTGGCCGCCATCTTCATCGCGCAGGTGAACAACTACGAACTGGACTTTGGGCAGATCATCACGATAAGGTGCGTGCGGCTGCGGGCTGGTGTGCGGTTTGTGCTTTGCCAGCGGTGGGATGTGCTCAGCACGACTGGCGGTCCGAGGCACAGGAACGTGCCGCTGCCTTTATCTCCGGCTGCTCCTCCGAGGCGTTGCGCCCAGTCCTCCTGCCCTGCAAGGCGGGTGCAGCTGAGAGCCAGCCAGGGGCCCAGAATCACCCCGGAGCTGCAGGGCACTCGGCTCTCCCCTCCCAGCATCTGCCCCTTGAGCGGATGCGGGGCGACGAGCCTCTCCACCCCCAGGGCCGAAGCTCCTGGAGCCTGCATCCTGCAGGTGGGTGAGGTGGAGGGGGCAAGGGACACAGCCCCAAAGACGGCCACGTTCGCGTTTCATCTGCCCAGTGCTGGTCTTTGTGATTTTGAGAGGCTTTTCACCCTTTCAGAATTTGGGGGCAACACACACAGTTCAGGAAAACACGCAGTGTTGGGTGACGGGGGAGGGGAGGCCATGGGAAGGGGGCTGCATTTGGGGTCTGGGCATGCCAGGTTTGGCCCCTGGCCCGAGGTTCAACACCCTGGTGTACAGAACGCTTCCACTTTTCTGTTTTGAGACTGGGTAACATGTCTTCAAGGGAGGTTTCAGCTTTGGCACGGCCCCATTCCGCCTTCCGGGATCTATTTAGCTTTTGCCCCACGCCAGACGGATCGCTCCATTGCTGCCACTGTGCAGTGCCATCCCCCGCCCCACCTGAGCTCCTGGTGCACCACCCCCTTTATCCGGCGGGCCTCCCCAGGATCACCTGCTTCCTGTTACCTGCAGCATCACAGCCACCGCAGCCAGCATCGGGGCTGCCGGCATCCCGCAAGCTGGGCTGGTGACGATGGTGATCGTGCTGACGTCCGTGGGGCTGCCGACAGAGGACATCACACTAATAATGGCTGTCGACTGGTTCCTGTAAGTCCTGGAGCACCTCCTGCCCCGTACCTTCATGCCGCTGGGTGTGCACACGGCCAGACCTGTGCCACCCGTGTGTGTGTGGAAGGGATGCGTGAAAGGCGCACATGGAGCACCCGGGGGCAGCAACGCCGACTGTGTGGAAACCAAGCCTGCCCAGGCTCTCTGGGCAGGCCCTCGACTGTGGTTGCTAGTCGCGAAGGTGCGCCTGACCCATAGCGACCCCATGGACCACACTCCTCCAGGCCTTCCTGTCCTCCGCCATCCCCCGGAGTCCACCCAAGCCCACACCCACCGTCCCAGGGACCCCTTCCAGCCACCTCATCCTCTGCCGTCCCCTCCTCCTTTTGCGCTCCATCGTCCCCAGCATCAGGCTCTTCTCCAGGGAGTCCTTCCTTCCCATTAGGTGGCCAAAGTATTTGAGTTTCATCTTCAGGATCTGGCCTTCTGAAGAGCAGTCAGGGTTGATCTCCTCCAGGACTGACCGGTTTGATCGCCTTGCAGTCCAGGGGACTCGCAGAGTCTCCTCCAGCACCACAATCCAAGGCCCTCAACCCTTCGGCGCTCAGCCTTCCTTATGGTCCAACTCTCACAGCCATACATTGCAACTGGGAAAACCATAGCCTCCACTATGCGCGCTTCTGTCAGCAGGGTGATGTCTCTGCTTTTTACTATGCTGTCTAGATTTGCCATAGCTTTCCTCCCCAGGAGGAAGCGCCTTTTAATTTCTTGGCTGCAGTCCCAATCTGCGGTGATCTTGGAGCCCAGGAAAATGCAATCTGTCACTACCTCCATTCCTTCCCCATCTATTTGCCAGGAAGTGAGAGGACCGGATGCCATGATCTTAGTTTTCTTAATGTTGAGTTTCAGGCCAACTTTTGTGCTCTCCTCCTTCACCTGCATCAAGAGGCTCTTGTACAGTGTTGCAAACCTCCATCCGTAGTTCTTCAGGCACTCTATCAGATCTCATTCCTTACATCTATTTGTCACCTCCACTGTATATTCAGCAGGGATATGAATTAGGTCATACGTGAGTGGTCTAGTGCTTTTCCCTAAATTTTGCAACGAGAAGCTCATGATCTGAGCCACAGTCAGCTCCTGGTCCAGTTTTCACTGACTGAATAGAGCTTCTCCATCGTTGGCTGCAGAGCACATGGTCAATCTGATTTCTGTGTTGACTGCCTGGTGATGTCCATGTGCAGAGTCGTCTCTTGGGTTGTGGGAAAAGAGCGTTTGCTATGACCAGCGTGTTCTCTTGACAAAATTCTGCCAGCCTCTGCCCTGCTTCATTTTGCACTCCAAGGCCAAACTTGCCTGTCATTCCGGTGATCTTTTGGCTTCCTGCTTTAGCATTCCAATCCAAGGACATCATTTTTTGGTGTTATTTCTGGAAGGCGTTGTAGGCCTTCATAGAACCGGTCAACTTCAGCCTCTTCAGCACCAGTGATTGGGGCACAGACTTGGACTCCTGTGATGCTGAACGGTTTGCCTTGGATTCGAACTGAGATCACTCTGTCCTTTTGGAGATGGTATTCCAGTACTGCTTTTCCTACTCTTTCATTGACTATGAAGGCTACGCCATTTCTTCTGAGGGATTCTTGCCCGCAGTAGTATACCTGATGGTCCTCTGAATTTAATGCACCCATTCCTGTCCATTTTAGTTCACTGGTTCCCAAGATGTCGATGTTCAGTCTTGTCACCTCTTGTTTGACCACTTCCAGCTTGCCTTGATTCATGGACCTTTCATTCCAGGTTCCTATGGAGTATAGATCTTTGCAGCTTCGGACTCTCCTTCCACCACCAGATGCATCCGCAACTGCGTGTCCTTTCGGCTTTGACCCAGCCGCTTCCTTCTTTCTGGCGCTACTTGCACTAGCCCTCTGCTCTTCCCCAGGAGCACATTGGACACCTCCCGACCTGAGGGGCTCATCTTCTGGCGACCTATCTCTTTGCCCTTTAGAACTGTCCATGGGGTTTTCATGGCAAGGGGACTGGAGTGGGCTGCCATTTCCTTCTGCGGTGGATCGGCTTTTGTCAGAGCTCTCTGCTATGGCCTGTCCGTCTTGGGGGGCCCTGCACGGCAGAGCTCATGGCTTCATTGAGCCACGCAAGCCCCTTCGCCACGACAAGGCAGTGATCCATGAAGGGGAGTCTGAGGCACATCCAAATCAGAGGGTGGGCCTTTTCTTCTCTCACGCCCTATTTCCTTCCTTGGAGCCTTTCTTTCAGGGCCATGGCCCAAGGAGGGGAGGCGGGTGGCTGCCAAGGAGGCGGCTTTTTCAGTGGCAGCCCCTTTGCAAGCAGGGCCTCCTCCAGGGACGCTTGCCTGGCCCCTGCACTGAAGCCTCTCCTCTGCCTGGTGGGGACACTTTCATCCGCCCGCGAGGATGGCGTCCTGTGGCTGGAGTCGCGTTGCTTCTCGGGTGCTGCCGTGGCTGCGACCTCCACTGCCATTTCCTCCCGGTCCTGTTCTGCTCCTTTGCCTACCGCTTGCTCGCCTCGCGGCTCAGTTCTTGTGCGATTGTAGGGGCGGTAGGAGTGCCATCCGGTGCGCCTGCGCACAGCACTCTGAACCTGGGGGATTGCGCCCGGGCAGTGGGAGGCGCGAAGGGAGCTTTGCCCCCGCAGTTTGAGAGCCAGGTCTGGCTTGGGAGGGCAGGGGGAGCCGCTCCATGTTCACAGGTCCAGCTCTGACCTCCCCGTGCTTCTCTGTGCCCCTCTCGACTGCCCACAGCAGGCAAAGATTGTGCCTTCCCGAAACCAAATGCCACAGGTACAATGCAACACAACCCTGCCTATTTTAGGCAGAGAAAGCCTTTCTGGGCAGAGCTGGCTCCCCACGCAGCGCTCGCCCGCGCCCGGGCTGATGCCTCTCTCCTCTCTGTGCTTTCAGGGACCGTCTCAGGACTACCGTCAACGTGCTGGGGGACTCTCTGGGGGCCGGTGTCGTTGAGCACTTGTCCCGGCACGAGCTGGAAATCCAAGATGCAGAGCTCAGCAATTCGGTCATCGAGGAGAACGAGAAGCCCTACCACCTGATCTACCCCGAGAACGATGGTCGCAAGCACCGCAGCAGCGAGACCTCGATGTGACCACCGGGGGAACGTCCTGTCCCACCCACGCCCCGATCGGTAGAAACGCTGCAGCTGTGAAATGCCGAGAGCCAAAGAAAGAAAGAGCCATCCTCGTCCTTTCCTCGAACTCTCGGCTTCTCCCCGTCCCTGCCACGCACGAGCACTGGACCCATGCCACTGGGAAAAGGGGTTGGGAACGCTTCTGAGCACAGGTTGCACTGCTTCTGGTGGCGGATCTGGCATGATGGGACCAGGGCTCGCTGCCCTCCCCCAGGCCTCTCCTCCCCCCGAATCACGACCGGCGGTTTTCTGCAGCAAGAAAACCCCACACCTTCTTTCCACAAAAATACCCTTCCTTCAAATGCATCATGTCGTGCAGCTGGGATCCAGCTGTTGCTTAAATCTCGTGCCAATGTGTATCTGTGTACAGACATGTGTACATATTCCTTTTGCGTGTGCCCTCTTGTGGACACTCCCTTTAGCACTTAAAAGGAGCAATGACAAAAACACAGCCTACCTTCAAAGAATGTACAGGTGATGCTTTATCCAGTATTGTGGGGGGATTGCTGCTTATTTATGAAGACCATTAAGGTGGAAAATTCTGTACAGCACTTTTGCGATATAAACTGTGGGACTTATGCAATGCATTGTCCAGTTACTTCATTCTCACAGTATGCTCCCAAATTGCTCTTTGCAAGTGTTACGGATTGGCATTTCTCCCTACAGTGACCAGCGGCATGGAGGCCCACCATGGGTCCTGTGGGATACCTCGCAGCACCTGTCAGGACCCCACCCCTCCAGGTTTTCATTTGATTTCCCTTGTTTTTGAAACAATGCCTGGTTTTGTTTTAATTACGAGGCTGGTATGCTGCAAAGGAAAAAGCTGCCATCATGACGTGGTTTCACTTGAGTCGCTCAGACGCACCTCCGTTTTGCACTGAGCTGATGCAGAAGTAAATTGCTTTTAGTCCCCGTGATTTGCCTTCTGGGGAAATGGGCGTTTTGTGAATGGACCTCCTCCTCACAAACCTCTGCTGGCAGTCATTTTGCGAGACTGCTCACCAACCCCAGAAGATGGGGGATCTCCATTGAACCCCCAGTCTGTACGTAAGTGGGCAGCCACAGCGGGTGGTCCTCGCCCCATCCACTGACAGACCATGGATTGTGCAAGGGAGACTTGTGCAAGGGAGTGTTATCATTGTCCTGGCATGTGGATCTTTGGGACCGTTGCCATTTCGGATTAAAAGGGTCGACATATATTTCAAAAGCTGCCCTTGGCTGGCACACGGGTGGATTCCGGGGGAAGGGGCGCCGTGGGTGGAGCAAGACCAGCCGCAGTGAACCCCGTGCCGCCCGAGAGCGGTTTCCCGACGCGGCTGGGGCTTCGGGGAGCTGCGGTCTGGCCACGCGGAGGTCGCCCGGCCGGGAAACGGCCTCCCAGTGCAGCAAGTGCCGGGCAAACAGCGGCGGCAGCAGCCGTTCCGCAAGAGCCCGCGTGCCGGGGCCCTCCGCGGGGTCACGTGGCGCGCGGCCCCGCCCGCCCAGCCGCTCGCGTCATCGCCCCGCGCCGGGCACCCCGC